AATATCTCATATAAAACCTTTAACAGTAGGAAACAGTCAGAAACCTTCCTCAGCTGCAGTAACAACAGCATTTATAGAGTTTTATAATAAACAGTATAAAAGTTGTTGTTTTGTAGGCTGCTGTGATGTCACTTCCTCTCCCGTACTGATGAAGAAGCAAACTGCTCAATCTCATTAACACACACACACACACACACACACACTGTGAGCTGTAGCAGATCTGATCTGAGAGCAGATTATTGTAAGAGCATTAAAACAGAGCAGTGCTGACTGTGGTAGAGAGACACTCACTCACACAGAGAGAGAGAGAGAGAGAGAGAGAGAGAGAGAATAATGAATGATGTTTAAGGTGGCAGGGTCCACCACTCGATATGGATGAATTGTGAATGTGAACTGAGAATTAATTGCCCTCAGGATGAACCGTAATAACTTTATTGATCTCTTCCTCTAGCGCCACCATGAGGTCGACATTTTAATGCGTCGATATTTTGGTTAAAATGTAAATACCTGCATACCTAATGACGTTCCTATAAGCCTCAGCTGCTGCTCATCAGCACATGTTGGCACTGATTGATGATAAATATTATATCTGCTGTCTGTCTGTCTGTGTCTCTGTCTGTCTGTCTGTCTGTGTCTCTGTCTGTCTGTCTGTCTGCTGTCTGTCCGTCCATCAGAGGGAGACGAAGAGAGTCTTGTTTCTCTACAGTCTGCTGATACAGAGACGGATTTTGTCCACTGACAGGAAACGCATCATCCCCCGGGGACGCAGGAGCAGCACGGTGAGAGACTCTGAACCCCCCAGGAGGAGCCAGGTGGTCGAAGCGTGTAATTACAGCGATGGCGTCCATCATGTGACGCGCACACTGTAGAGACATCTCTTTTACCATCTTCAAAATGTGGTTCAGGATAGATTAGCTTAGCATATAGCATATTTAAGCACAGGAAAGAAGGAAGTTGATCGCTGCTTGCTCAACCGCGATTAGAGCGCAGAGGGGAAAGGGGCGGGGCTTATAAAGGGTCAATTATTAGACGAATAAATGCTTAAAGTGTGACTGCTAAAGTTTGGCCGTGTTGAATCTCCTGCAGGTGTTTGAGTGTCCGAGCAGCTGCGGGCGTCGTCTTTGTTGTTGTCGCCAACGGGAAGCGTCAGACTCTGAGGAGACGCACTACGACCCCGGTTAGACCCGACTGTCGCTTTCTAATAAAGGTTCTGCTGCTTCTCTCTGTAACTATGTCATTAAACTGAAGCTCACAGCGCCACCAGAGTGTGAGTGTGTGTGTGTGTGTGTGTGTGTGAGTGAGTGAGTGTGTGAGTGAGTGTG